AACGCATAACAATACGCACATTAAAATTCAGTTCAAGAGAAGTCCGACGTCTGATGTCAGAAGAGGTAACCAAAGAAAATAAACAAAATGACAATAATACATAAATAACAACAGACTACTAGCAGTTAACTGACATGCCAGCTCCAGACTTCAATTAAACTGATTGAAAGATTATGTCTTCATCATATGAATATCAGGCACAATCCTTCCCGTTAGGGGTTTAGTATCATACCATCATAACATATATGAGAAGAACATAACCCGTGTCATGCCAACAACTGGTTTTTAAATAAATGTGTTTAGTGCCGATGCAAAGACCCTATAAGTGAATCAATATTAACGCCAAAATATGCAATCTTTAATGACCTGACAACAGTATCGTAACTTTATCCCTTCTTAATAAGTCTATTTAAATGGTTTACTTTTATAAATGTTTACTTGGATGGAGAGTTGTCGCATTGGCAATGATACCACATCTTATATCTATTAACCTTACATTCAATCTATTTTTCTCTTAATCTATATCTACTTTTCTGTATTTTGGTTCTGATTATTCTGATGAAAGGTAGTTGGTCAGATATTTGGAGTTATTGCTTATCAAAACTGACCGTTTATTATTGAATTCAGTAGAGCAGAGTACAAAATACGATATACAAGATCAATAATTATTTTCTTACGTGACGTTTAAAGGACATAAACTGTTATTGCTCCAGAATACTGGGTATGAATAATTATACACTTTGAAGTTTTAAATTTGACATTCAATACACATTGATTCAGATACTATCAGGTTTTACAAAGGTTGATATATGCTTTACAATTTGAAAACAATAACAATATAAATATAACATGCAGTGATTGACTTCCTTAATTGAATCTTTTGAATATAGACTAGCGCTAGTACTATACAAGGTACAATCTGCAATTGAAATGGTAGTGCCGGAATTACCATTAATGTGTCACAAAAAAACCTTGGAGAACCATCAAACTTAATGCTTTTATCATTGCATAATTTTAGACATCATCAGTCAAGAGTACATTATTATTTTAAAACAGTGAACTTTAATAAGAGGGAACACTCAGCAGTACAATAAGTCATTCTGTAAAAAACATTTGACTGGGAAAAAATTATCAATCCAAAATGATCACCCCAATTGTCCGTCGAAGCTTTCAAATCAGCCACCAAAGCGCTACATGAGTACAACGATTAAGCACTCTGCCCCCGTTACGAAAAAGCTAGAAGATGGTTACATCAAAGTATTGATACTGAAAAAGATTACTTTTTAGAATTTCCTCACAATATTTATAGACTTGAAATACTTTTTTAGATTTACACTTCACAAAAGAAGATAGCATTCGTTTTTACGAGGAAATAAACTTAAATAAAAGATCAACACCAACCCTGTCAATTTAACCACTCTAATAATGTGGTACTAAATGGTTAAAACGCTACTTTCTAAATTGAAAATCATTATTTTCTGTGTAACATACCGAGGGTAAAGAGTATTCATTTCGACTTTAAACCTATATAGGGTGAAAAAAAGAGAACATATAGAATTTCACCAAATATATTTCATCTCAGAGATTTAAATGAAATTAACTCAAATACAAAGTTTTATGAATATTTCATGAAGATTGAGAAAATCCTGGGCCTTAATTATGATGACTCAGCATAAATTCACAGTTTACAGTATGCATAGTTTACTTAAAGGCCTGAATTCAAAATAAATTCTTAATGTATGCATATTTGTAATTTGAATTGTTTAGAAGTGCTTATATTTACTCTTATCAGTCATTGAAACTCACAGATCCTTCCTGGATATTGTTTTTGGGGTGTTTTTGTTCTGTCGATAACCCAAAAGTAAGCCGTAACACCTTGATGTGCTTTTTTGTGACCGTGTCATAAAAAAATACAAGCTAGAAATACAAAAATACCTCAATAAAACTAACAATAGTGTGTTCTATCCTAAATATGTATTGAATATTCCATATTCACAGAAAAGGCAGAATGAATTAGCAAATGTGAGGCCCCAGTGGCAAAAAAACAGAAAAATGCCTACACCCTGAGTCACAAAACAGATAATTTAACCTGTAAATGCTATGAATTTATTATTTTAAAGGTCTTTTATATAGAAAACAATAACTGTGCTTTGAAATTATGCAAAAAACAGATGTTAGCAGTCAGTTCTATAAAACTTTTAGTGAAGTCATACATAAGACTGGTAACTTCATACATATAACTTTTGAAAAAATGGCTTTGTTTAAACACTTCTTGTTCATATATTAGCTAAATTATGTTAGATATATGGTTAGAGATTATGTTGTTGTGACAACATTTCTACACTGACTATTTGAGGTAGAAAAAAGTAAAATCACAAAAATACTGAACTCCGAGGAAATTCAATCGGAAAGTCCCTAATCTGTTAACTTTAATTGACAAATAGGCATACAGTAAGATGTGGACTGGAGACAAAGGCAGGATTGGATACTTTATATAATCTTGAATGTTGGAATGATTAACTACTAAACTTTACATTTATAGTATTCTGAAATGCTTTTAATTTGTTATAAGAATAGTTTCAAACAGGTTCTAGACATTTCATGTCAGAAAACATGCATATAGGATAAGCTGACAATAATTAAAGTCTTGTTCTCAAATTCTTTAAAAAATTGAAACAGGGGTGGGGGTATAAAATGTACTGTAAAAGAAAAGTTAGAGTATATGCAGTGATTTCTTTAAGGCTATAATTCTGATAAATAAGTATTGTTGTAAGAAAAAGTGTTTTTCAAGAGTTTTCTATTTAAATAAATGTTTGTATAATTATACTCAAGCCTATATTTATGTCATTGGTTACCTATTCATATAAGACAGACAGGTCACATGGTTATTCGAAATGTGTATAACTATTATTTAAAATTTATCAAATCCCTAAATTTTGCGTGTTTACTGTTTTCGTTAAATCCTTTTGTGTCAGCCTTTTATTCAGAATCCTACATTGTGCTTTCTAGCGAAATACCTGTAGTGGTATAATCAGCCCCTTGTATTCGGGTGTTATAACTTTGTAAAATCTAGCTTGATATTCATCACTTTCAACTTAATATTTCATTATTCAGACGTCACAATTCTGTTTTAACTTGATATTTCACTGTTTTGACTTTGCATCTTCCAACTTCCAACATTAAGTTTCACTGTAACGACTTGACATTGATCACTGTAAGGACTTGACATTTCTCACTTCAAATAACTTTATTATATTTCACTATTAAACTTGACAATTCTTACTTCTAACTTGATATTTTACTATTTTGGCTTGGCATTCCACGCTTTCAATGTAATATGTCAATGTTAAGACTGACATTCTCACTCTCAACATTATATTTCACTGTTTAGACTTGACTTCCAACTTAATACTTCACTTGATATTACTCACTTCCAAATGAAAATACACTACAAAGGCTGTTTTAGACCTGAAATATGTGAAGATCAACATGAACAATAAGGACCTAAATATAACAGCCAAATTCATCGCAGGTCAACTTTGCCTGAGAAAGTTGGAACCTTAATTTCATGATAACTTTTAAATTTATCAAAGGAGAATTTTCAACTTAATATTTAACTGTTTAGGCTAGACATTCCTCACTTCTAGCTTAATACAAATATTTGACTGTTTAGACTTGACATTTCTTACTTTCAATTTGACATAACTCTTCAAAGTTAATATTTCTATCCTCCAAGTAGACACTCTCAGTTAAAATTTGATACTTCTCATTTCAAAATTGAGAACTGTCAAGTCGGAACTTAGAATTCTCAGATTGAAGTAAGAGTTTTAAACAGTAGAATGTAACTGCAGGTATTTCGTACTATTCACTGCACTTTTGAACCCTAGCATAGCTTTACGAGTGTCGTTAAGAAGATTTCGTCAAAGTTGCTCCGAGTGATTATTTCAAATACATAATGAATCTAATTTGGTAGTCAAAACAGGTTTACAAAAGAGAAAACATGCCTACGCTTGTGCGAAGTTATAGCATTGAAATATCCAAGAAGAACTGTCTGATCAGGAAAATAAATATGGTACAATAAAGATCAATAATGGTTCTTAAATCTTAAATCTTAAATTGCGTCACAGTCTGAAATATCTGCCATTGAACGTTAAGCAGGAGTGACTGTAATCAATTTATTTTTATTTCACCAGTAAACAGACATTGGAATCATTGAAATAAACGATGCATTTTTACTTTATTTTTTTCATTAATTTATTGATAGATTGTTCCTGGCTTGACGTCCAGTGGTAAAGTTTGCATGCACATTCAAGACGTGAAAAGTTAACAGTTAATACATTATAAAGGTTCTTCTTATTTATAGTTAAAACGAGACTGAATCATTTTACATTTTTGTAGACTCTTGACGATTTAGAGCTTGACCTGTCATTACTTCTATATAAGCATTATTGCACAAGATAGAGCTTTTCACTAACTGCTTACGGCTTCGTCACGCTAAATCTGTTGGAGACGAACTAAATACTGTTTAGTCTGGGAGGGCATGGTTTATTTTTTGTTGAAATTGACCTTTGAAATAGCTTTCAGTAACTACGAGTATGTTGTGTCATTTTTCTCATTTCTCATTGTGTTACCAGTTATTTTTTTGTGTTTCTTACTCATCTAACGAGGCATGACCTTAATTTTTAACTTATTTTCACTAGATTGTTCTTATGTTGTACTGCTACATCACTTTCTTAGGTTAAATGGAGAGTTGAGCGCGAACAAATATGTTTAAAACCGCTACATTCTTTGTTGCATGTTCGAAGCCGGGAGTCAGTAGTCCAGTGGTTGTCATTGGTTGCCCTGTGCCATAATTGTTGGTCGTTTGATGCCATTAGCTTAAATCAGGCTGTTATTTTTCCTTTTGAATTGTTATCCTGGAACCTTTTTATATGGTTTGGGGTTTGCTCGTTGTCGGGTGTTTTTTTACATACCATGAAAACTAACACAAATTCACGAACTAATGAACCGATAACCAATTTTTAATAACAAAATATATATAACATAACAAAAACAATTACAAAAAATGAGAGCAAAATTTCAACTCTATTATAAAACTAATTCAAAGTTTCCAAAAATATATAAATTTCTTTACACGGTATACATATGCCGTTTTTACTACTCAAATTGTTTGACGTTTAACGCTCAGATAGATGGTAAAAATGCACGTGCAATAAAACACTATTGGTAGCTTTGTTCTACTGGGTGACAGAAAGAAATTATCCTTGTTTATGAGCTACAATACTTCTCAGTTAAAATTGATATTTTAAAAGCTCCGTCGCTCAAGCTAGTTTATGTTGAAAATTTTGAATATGAAATACAACTATTTGGAAATTGACTTTTAAAAAGGAGGAAAATCCTTACTCACAGATAACTATATAAATATATATAAAGAGATAACCTGTGTATTGAAGAAAACAACGTGGAAATATGTCCACATATACCAGTTGTTTATCTATGTATGTTTTATTTATACTTAATTCTTTTTATTCCATGTGTTAAAAGATTTATTTAGTTTGATTTTCCTCAAACATTTAATCGAATACGAACCAAAACAGAAGGAATACTAGATAAAGAATTTGTAATTTTAAAGATTTCTACATTATTTTTAGTTACTATTTTATCGAATAGTTCTCGTTACTGATTCGTTGATTATCAAATTTCCTCCCTCCTAAAACTACCAAACGAAATATGTGTGCCATAATTATTTTGCTTTTACTTTTTCTTACAAGGAGAAAGTTCTTAACGTTTTTTTTCCCACCAAGACTGAATATACGCGACTTGACGCTTTAAAAAGGTGTAGTTAGCATCGTTGGCTAAAAAAAAAAATCTCATACAAAATTGATCTCGAGAATTGAAATTGCTTATTTTCTTAACTCGTCAATGTATGTACTAGTAGTCTAAAAAGAATATTGTTTAGATGACTTAACATTTTTTATTTGGAAGTATTTTTTTTCGAAATAGAAAAGATCGGAGTTTTGACATTTTATTGAATTAGTTTCATTCCATCCAAATAAACGATAAAGGTAAATTATTTAATCATGTGGATTGTTATAAATGTTGACTTTACAGTGAGTTCGTAGATAAAACAAACCTACTGAAAATTGTGGAACAAACGAAAACGACGTGTCTTTAAGAAACGACCCACAATGCACTGCACGTGTTTGAATAGATTACATGTCATCCATAACATGCTGGGGTGGCGAATGGCCACGCACTGACTGTAACAACCCATAGCATTCATACATCCTCCTTTGTAATGCTATCATGTAGATCTTTGAATGTTTCTTCCCTTTCGTTGATGTTCTGACTCTCATGTTGTCAGCTGTTTATTTCATTAAGAAATTTGCATATATTGCATTGTATGTCACCCATGTTATGCTAGAGTGACCATGACCGATGGTCAGGTTCCTGTGTTGGTTGTGGAGGATACACCGACTCAGTTATGATGGAGGACGAGGATTGTCGAGTTCCTGTGTTGGTGGTGGAGAATATGCCATATTCTGGTGTGTTAGAGGTGGCAGATGTCCTGGTTCGTGTGTTGATGCTGAAGAATATGCCGCACTCTGTTGTGGTAAAAGTGACGGATGATCAGTTTTCTGTGTTGGTGATGAAGAATATGCCGAACTTTGTTGTGAAGGCTGTGGCGGATGGCCGGGTTCGTGTGTTGGTGTTGAAGAAAATGCCACACTCTGTTGCGGTAGAGGTGTACGAGGACCGGGTTCCTGTGATGGTGTTGAAGAATATGACGTACTATGTTCTAGTAGAGGTGGTAGATGACCGGGTTCATAAATTGGTGGAGGAGAATATGCCGCATTCTGTTGTGGTAGTGGATGTTGACTCTTGGAACTTTTTTTAAGGCGTGAACGTTTTTTATTACTTTTCTTTGGTTTTGATGGTAGTTCTGAAATTATAAACGAATAAATATGATCATTGTCAAAGTATTAAAATATTTCATGATCTCAAATAAAATATTCTGCAGTTTGTTTAAAGTCATGATTTTTGTATCTTTTTCTAGATATGTCCCCTTATGTTACTTTACATAGGTATATTTGATAAAGGAACATCAAATATTATCAATAGTTATTTCAACATTTAATAAATGCATGCATGGACTTTAAAGCCATCTTTGGAGCCCATTTGTATTGACGAAATAACGTTCTAAAATGTGGTTTTACTTGTAGTAAATAAGTTTGCTTTGATACAATCTGTACATTTATTTTCATATTTTTTTTCAAATGGGTTTGATTTAGATTAATCAACTGATAGCTCATCACAAAATGCTGAATAAAGCCTAGTCCCCAAAAGGCATAATTAAGCCTCAATACCAAGGGCAAACTGAAAACTTTAAAGCCGCCTCACGAAAGGAAAAATGAAGCCTCATCACCAAAGGCAAAGTTGATTGTATGAAATATTTTTAAATATATATAAAAAAAAAAATATGCATAGCAATTTGTGTTATCCTAAAATGCCATTTCTTGAACTGTAATCTTGTTTATATCATGTAAAAACCATGACAACTATAGGTTGGTGATATTTATTTAATCAAGCATTTTTTACTTACGTTGCTGTTGCAGTGTTTGTTCATGTTGATGTTGATTAAGTTTTGATAAAGTGTCTGGTTGTATCACATGACCACGAACACCACTGGTTTTAACACAACAACATATTGTGACGATAATAGCCCCTATAACTGCTACTCCAAACAAAGAACCAATAATTGCACCAATGATAGTTCCGCTAAGTATAACAAAAACGTCAATGTAATTTTGTAAGTGATATGCTTAGATCACGTATGAATTATGGATCGTGAGCAAATAGGCTTGATTTTTCTTTTTCGAATGCATGAAAGAAATTAGTCCTTTTTGTTGATTTTGTGAGTGTTGTTGGGTTGCTGTCTCGTGGCTTTTAACCCACATCTCTTAAATTGCATTGTTTAAGGTGTTTGTAGTTCAGCCGAATTTGAAACCTCAGAGCAAATAAAAATGCAAAAAAAAACGTTTTTCGAATATATAGAAAAAATTTAATATACTAGTTCATTCCATTCTTGTATTAGTAAGTTTATAAAATTGAGAATGGAAACGGGGAATGCGTCAAAGAGACAACAACCCGACCAAAGAGCAGAAAAATATGAGTTTTAGATAAATATTTCTATGTCTAGTTCATTTAATCTTGTTTGTTGTAATTGTTATTGATCAGATTTGAATGTTACTTTTATCTGTACAATGTATAGGAAGTTAAGATTTAACATGGTAACGGACATTACAATCTCAGAAATCAAGGGCTTATCCCGATTGGGTGCTTTTTTTCATTTTTGGGGCCCTTTATAGCTTGCTGTTCGGTGTGAGCCAAGGCTCCGTGTTGAAGGCCGTACTTTGACCTATAATGGTTTACTTTTACAAATTGTGACTTGGATGGAGAGTTGTCTCATTGGCACTCATACCACATCTTCTTATATCTATTTGGTTATTTAAATATGTTATTCTGAAATTCGACTAAAGATCATGGATTTCAACTTTCGATTTTTAGATTCAGGTATTGAATTCGGAATATCGAATGACTAGTTTACATTTTTGTTGTCTGAATTATGCGTCAAAGCGACAACTTTTCTTTGAAGAATGCATATATCAAGTTGCGGGATAAAACACATATGTATAGAAAAAACAGAAATGTTAGGCTAAAGGACAATTCTTTGGATTCATTCAATGCAACTAGAGTTCATTACTTTTCATTAATTGTTTCGATGTCATGAAAAATTAAATGAAAATTCGATTTTATAAATGTGCTATTAACATGAAAGTAAAAAATATAAAAATATTCTTTTTATTTGTACTCTTTGCGCATATTTTTTTCTGTGATAATTCTTGTACATGTTAACAAATACTTACACATCTGTATCACATTCATGGTAGTCGTACTGATAGTGGTAGTAACAACCACCGAACACGGAAATAACTGAAATATACAAATATAAGTTTCAATTTCACTTTCATTAATTCTTTTTACATATATAGTTTGGCAGACAATCATGATTCACAATAAACCTTGTTTTAATTGAAAAGGTTATAAATTTAGAAATGATTAAGAAACTTCAAGGCTACAACTCCCGCAGGCAAAGTTAATCCTTAGATGGATTTGGCTATTATTACAGATCCTTTTTGGTCATATAGTTCTTCAAATGTTCCGGTTCTTTTACATCCTTGGCTTTCAAATATTTGGCTTTGAACGTTCTTGGTGAAGTTAAATCCAGAAAAGCGCTTCGGACGCATGAAATCTATTAAGTGTTGTTTTCATATTTTACGACAAAGAAAGTCCAAGTTTTGTCCGAGATATTATAAAAAATTTAGGCCAAATAACTTGTACCGCCCACAAGAAATCATTGGGTATTGCGATTAATATTCCTCCAAGATTTCCAAATAGAGCGAGATGCACTGAAAAGCAAAAATTTGAGTGTATGAGATCCCCATTTAGAAAATAAAGTCTGCGTGCGCTTCAACATCGTATTTGGGTGGGGTGTTTTTTTAGTGCCACTGGTGAGTCTTTTATGCAAGCGAAACGCGCGGCTGTTATACTTTGATTCCTTTGGTAAGTATTACTTCTAACACAGCTTATTCCATCAATAAGGATTCAAAACAAGGATGTTGGGATGTTGCAAGAGATAATATTGCAGACGTTTGAGTTCCCATAGAAACAGTACAATCAGTTCGGAACCCTTTTCCGACAAAGAAGAAAAACGAAGACTTTCCTAAGATCTAAGGATGAAAATGGACGATAAAACTGTTATATTTACGACATTATCCAACCTCTTTACTCGCTCCTCCCTTTTACAGAAATATTCTCCCGTTATGTATTATCACTGTCCATTTTCAAATATATTCTTCTGCCTGTCAGCATGTTAACATAGTGTAGTAGTTTTAATTTCGATCTTATGGAAATGGATGTAAATAAGATCACTAAAGAAGCTTCGAATATATGAGCAAAGAATTGTAAAAACTGTATATAAGAAAAGAAAATCCACTTTAGGACAAATTAATTTTAGTCAGGAATGCTAAAACACAAAAATTCGAAAGCCGGTGATGTATAACCAGAAACATATATCATTATAATCTCTTGTATTATATGTGTCTCTGGTACATGTTTACATAACTACTTGATCATGAATACATGAGGAACTGTGTGACCGTATATACGGGAGCCAACTCTATGTAAGGTCAATTTTGCCTGAGGTAGTTGGAATCTTAGTTTCTTACTAATTTCCGAATTAATCAATGGAGAATTTATTAAAGGTATATTATAATGTATGTCAGTACCGAAGTACTCGGTTAAAATAGATCAAATACAATGTATGTATCCAATGCTTTTGTAATATTTCTTCAGGTATTTGTTCTTTAAACAAAACGTATATAACATTCTTCTTAGATTAAACCTTTCCTACAGTGGTATTGCATACGTACTGATTACTGTATGTCGTATTTTGTTTTTAAAATATATAATAAATACCTGGATATTTATCTTAAAAGATATGGAACTACATTATCAAAATGTTTCGTATGATTGAATAGTTGAAAGATTTTTTAAACCTTTTATCAAAATATTTACATTAAAGGTACGCAATTACCGCGCTATGGTTACATGCACAACAAAGAGAATAATAATATGTATTATATAATTATGGAGATTTCTCTTTTTTATAACAGATCCTTGCAATAAATATATAAAGCATTTCCGATGTAAGAAAAATATTAAAAAATAAAGTAACTCTTAAAGGTCAATAACACTAATATTATTTTAAACTCATCATACATGTTAGACTTGACTTGTACAACTCTCTAGATTTTCAAAGGGTACTACATCTTGTCAGCAAATGCAGAACATTATCAAGATATGGTTGTTTATAGAATATATTTTGAATTTGGAAAATATAGATGTATCGATCGAACTGTTAAAACAAAGCTTTTTGAGCATGTCTGTTCTACACTTAAAATTGGAAAGTTTAACTCTTACCCTGAATAAACAAAATCCATATTGAATCAAAAAACATTATTTAAATTATAAATAATAATCCATTCCAAATCATTCAGGTTAGACAGCCCGGAAGTTTAAAACACCAAATATCAATTCAAAGGCCACGGTTAACTATGTATAAGGTTCAATCAATTAAAAAAATAGATCTGTGACGTTAAATGTCAAGTTACAATAATTCACAATTACTATTCAAGTTTTTTCTTGTTGATTTTTATCCAGCGTCTTCTCGAATGGATCTAGATCAAGATTCAACTGTTACATATTTCATCTGCATGCATAATGACTTTGTAACAGTATAGATGTTCCGGACCATATATGAGTATTTGGTCCGGGTAATCAACATGATGAACTTTGAAAAGGTGTCGCATAAATTATGAGTTTCTAAAAATGAAAATTTGACTTATTCTATCATATGGTATTCATTGTTACAAGTAAGAAAACATGATTTGTACATAGTCATTATCGATTTGTCCTTACGAAACACAATATGTCGACTTTGGTAAATAACTTCAAGAAATATCTAAATGAACTGTTAAACGATAATTCAATAGCTTAACTCACATGAACTTTGATCATTGAACCATCTTTCTTTTCTTTTTTAAAATTTATTTTGGTCAGAGATGGTTTAAAAATTAGTTTTTATTGAATTAAAATTTCTTAAATACTTCAAATTGTTTGTTTTTAATAATTTAATGTGTTCTTGCTCCTATTCATACGATCTAACAATTATAACAGTAAAATCGTATGAATAGGAACAAAAACACATTAATTAATTGAAAATAAGTAGAAAGGGGAAGACATTTGGATTTTGAAATAATGATTTAAACACTAAGAAAAAAAGGCCATGCCCCCAACGCCTGTGTTTTCACTTAATGACGACTGAACAGTCGACAGGATAAAGGCGCTTTAAATTTACTATGCTAAGGCAAGATAACAGATACACCAAGACTCATACAATATATAAAAGATAAAGACGGTTAAGTTCGTGTCGAATGAGCTGTGTGTTTCTGCGAAGGAAGTTAGAATTTATTCGAAAAATACCTATATGGCCTAATTACTCATATGATCCGGCTCGTTAATAACCAAACGATTATAATACTCATGTGGTCCGCGTATGGTCGGACCATATGAGTATACGCATATGGTCATGAGCATACGCGTATGGTCCAAATACTCATACGGTCCGAAACATAGACATTTGGTTTAATAAGTACAGAGTCGATTGACCTAATTTAACTGATATTAACACGTTGATTTAGTCCGTTGTGTACGTTGTATACTGCATTTAACATCAATCTCTATTTTAATGCAAAAGACCTACAAAAGACCTACTTTGATGATGATGATGATGATGATGATGATGATGATGATGATGATGATGATGGAACTCATTTCTGTTTAGTTGCAAATTTATTTTCTTTTCGTACTCTGCGGCGCTTCCGCCATGATTGTTATGTTTGACGTCACATATTTTTAATATTGACCGTCAATATACGTTTAAATAGAAACATAGCGTCCATATACTTAAAAATAGAAACAAGGCTTCAGATACATGAAACATGTGATCGTAATATCCAATGAAAACAGGAGAATGCTACACCATATGTAATATATAATAATAAATGATAATTAGAACGCCATGACTGTCTTCTGATGTTGATTGTTTAATATGTTTTGGCTTTCAAGCTTTTTTCATCTGAGCGTCACTGGATGGTCTTGTGTGGACGAGACGCACATCTGGCGTATTGAATTTTAAGCCTAGTACCTTTTGTTAGCTATTATTCGTGTGTTTCTTTGTCCTATATGTTCTCCCATTTATTTGTATTGTGGTCCTGTCATGTGATGTTGTCGTTTTGGTGTTGTGTTTGACGTTGCCATTAAAGCGGGAGGTTTGGCATGCCACAAAACCAGGTTCAACCCACCATTTTTTTCTTAAAGTGTCCTGTGCCAAGTCAGGAAAATGGCCATTGTTATATTATAGTTCGTTTCTGTGTGTGTTACATTTTAATGTTTTGTTTTTGTTGTGTCGTTGTTCTCCTCTTATATTTGATGCGTTTCCCTCAGTTTTAGTTTGTAACCCGGATTTGTTTTTATCTCTATCGATTTATGAGTTTCGAACAGCGGTATAATACTGATGCCTTTATTTTTTTGGTGCTTTATGCATTATGTTCAGTAGTATTTATATTATGCACGTTCAGTAGTTTTGACATTATGTTCAGAAGTTTTTACATTATATTCGGTGCTTTGATTATTATGTTCAGTAGTTTCATTATTATATGCAGTGGTATTTAAATTATGTTCGGTACTTCTAACGTTATATTCAGTGCATTTTTCATTATGTTCAGTAATTTCGACATTATGTTCAGTAGATTCAATATTATTTGCAGTACATTATGTATTACCTTCAGTGGTCCCGGTTTCTTTATATTCGGTGGGTTATTCATTATGTTCAGTAAAAGCATCAGTAATATACTCGGTTCAATGAACTATATGTTCAGTGGTTGTATCATTATGATGATGCAGTAAAACTCGGGAAATCAGTAACCGAAATTGTCGAGAAAAAAAACGAACGCAGATATTTTTGACGGACGTTTTCTTCATGGACAAATGAATTCTGTCCTTAGATACATTTGTGTCCATGTACCTTTCAACTAGCTACAACCATTTCTCAGTTGATAAGCTACAAAGTGTCGCATATACACTCATGTCATGTAAAAAGCGTTTAGTTTCTGGGCACCTAGTTCCAGAGACCAGAGACGCGTACATTAACATAAACGTTAAAGTCTTAGAAAATAATTTCAACAATTAGGTCTTGTGCAGGAAACATTATCCATACACTTTTAAAGCCCTGGAACACCTTCAGCTCTATTATCATAACACGTGGTCAAATAGCCAAACTAAACGATATTACAAAAAGCAATATCACCAGTCTATAGACTGTCACCATTCCAAAAAAAAGCACTTTGAAAATTACTACATGTATATATGTGCCATCGTCTAAGCAAAGTTTTATTTTTATTTGTCATCAACCGTACTAAAATATGTTAGTTAATTTCAGTTCACAAATTGTTTTCAACTTAGCTGCCGGTTTTTAGTTTGTTAGATACGGTGGTTTTTTTTCGCTCATAGGGATATAAGATAAAAATGTCTTCTATGACCGTAAAATATTAAATGATAAAACGTTTCCTTCTAGCATGTCGGTCTTGTGCAAGGAAAGGTTCTATTTTTATAAATGTACGATATAGCGGGTGATACATCAGGATTGTTTGGGGGTTGGGCTACCCTTTTGTTCTAAGATTTGGCCAAAACAATGAGCGGAAAATAATAGCATGGAACACTCTTTCTTTATATAAGTTTTTTTGATCGGAACCACATCCCCGTTTTTCGAAAATATTTGGATCCGCCCGGGCCTGCTTGAAATACCTGGAGACAGCTCTTCCAATTGGTACTCAACACTCCTCTTCATACTAGTATATCCTTTCTTTGATTGATGACTATTTATATAAATCTCGTGGGGTTTTCATTTCTAACAAAACTTCAAATGGTTAATTCACGGGGGGTCTCAACATGGGATTTTGGGTACAGTTGTGCAGCTGGGATTTAAAAAACACCCCATTCATATATTGAATAATTGTGAAATCCCTACCTATACATATATTTCACAGCGAAATCATAACCCATTCATATATTTATCAGCTCAATTAGTACCTTAATATATCACAATTGGCCAATAACTACCTATTGATATGTTTCCTCGGTAAAATTGCACCCATTGATATATTCGACGTATCAAAAAAGGAACCAATTCCAGCGGCACATATGTATATACCTTCATATAGGTAGAGACCCCCCGTGGGTTAATTATACGTCTAAGAATAAATCGGTTGTAGGGAAGTTGAATAAATCGACAGTGAACGACCGCGGGATAAATGCATAGCTACCTATCCCATTTACACTTCCAGTGTAACCCTAAACATACATTTTTCTTTGCCTTCAGTGGGGGCCTGCTGTCCTATTCACAATAAATCGTAATGGTAAAAAAAGTCGAAAGTTATGACGTCATAAAAGATATAAGTATTGTGACGTCGTAACTTACGACTGCTTTACACTTACGATTTTTTGTGAAAATGCGTAAATTGCGATTCCATTAGAAATGAGACCTATTCGAAATACTGTATAGATTCTTACAATTCTCCAAGGTTGCTTTATCAATACATTTCCTATTGATTGATGAGGGTGGTAAGGGGGGTGCTTGCACGGAAAAAAACGTGAAATAAGACATAATTTCACGTTGAACGTGAAATAATTTCTGTCATGAACGTTGCGGCACGAAAAATAAAGACTTTGATGTGAACCTTTTGTGACTGAGTCACTGTCTTCTTGTATATATAAACTCTCTGTTTTACTTGATATTCCCGATTTGGTATACACATTTATAATATAAACGGGTACGGCTTTTAAAAAAGTATATAACGATCTTCTTAACTTTTAAAATGCAAATATCCCGCAGACACGAAAGTGAGTTCTTGATCTATTTCATTGTCTTTATTAACAAGAATAAACACGTTGTCATGTTATCCATGCCAACAGCTACCACGACTCGTGGTTAAAAGTATCAGAAATAGGAAGTTTGAACTGACAGATGATGGGAGGTGCAAACACGTTAAAGCTCATCACTGTTAAGATGTCGATCCTATTTAAAGTCATTCTTTTCATTTTACCAAAAAATTCAAAGAATCGCCAATGAGGAAGCGTGTATCTAGGAGATCCGTAAAGTGTTCACATGTTAAAAACATATCAGATTTGAACTTAGTGTGAAGTCATTATGTAAAGTTGTTTCTTAGAAAAATCTAACGGAAATATTTGTTGGATTGACGAACAGAAGCACAAGTTGATTGTAATATATCCCTAATCCTACAGCTTTCCCTAGTAATTCATACCATGCAGGTCTCATTAGTCCTTTTATTTTTTTTATGTTTTCTAACATTACAATCATGAACTAGAGACATATATGGCAATACAGCAATCCATCAACATATTTATACCAGAGGACTATAGAATACGACAAAAATAAATATGTATGGCCCGTTACAAATTTGTTTAGACAATAAAATGTCAGTGTGATGTAGTTACTTAATACTTAATGAGCAATGTGT